GAAACTTCCTAGGTGACCCAAGACACTTCTCAGGTTCCTTTCACTCACTGTGCACTCACAGCTACCACTCGAATTTTACCAGATTTCAAACTCATACACAAGCGTGAATTTAAGAGAATTCACAATCTCACCCCAAAATACAAAACACTCAAAACCCTTTTTCCCATTACAAGATCTCATCGAATATCCCTAAATACATATCTATGAATAAAGAGATAAAACTAATATGTTGAACACTCAAGATCTGTCTGGAACTCACTAGACGTACTGTAACCAAAAACCTGATAGGAACTTTGACCAGGAGGACTGACTTAGCTTCGTGGTGAAGGATAAAACCATTAAGCACGACCACTACACTTCGTCAGCCTCAACTTTGAATGAATGCATATGAGCATATTTATAGTACACTCGAATTATTCATTTCATCTTGAAAAAGATAGATTTTCTGAAAAGATAAGTTTAAAAGATATTTTCTAAAAATCAGTTTTCCGAAAATATATCTTTTTGTTAAGAATAAAAACTGTCAATAATAATAAGATAAACTTAGCATAAAATCAGATTTTATTCAAAACTTATCTTTTTGTTTAAAATACTTTTTAAACAATCTTATCTTTTTCCAAAAGGGATTTATTAGAAGATAAATATCTTTATTCAGTAAAACCAAATCCCTAAAAGATATGCACGTATAAGGTAAATATATATATCATTAAAACCGACTTTTAACGACGTTCATACTTAAGTTCCTATTAGGTTCCTGAACTCTGACAGTCTCTGAGTTCCTGACAAGTCAGTTACTCTAATTTCATTGACTGTTTGGAATTCACCTTGGTTCTATATAGACTTGTTCCAGACCGACTTTTATGTCCAACATACTTACATGAATCCTAGAGCAATATACTTCTATTTCTCTGTCTTCATGTTGCTTCTCTGAAACTCTTGTTCTGGAATCCTGTAGTCTTGATATATTCTGGATCTTAGGGTTTTCCCCAGCATTACACCGAAACCAGGTCGTTACAACCCGTTTTGAAGTTCCTGTTAAGAAACTTCTGGAAGTTCCATTTCTGGAACTCTTCTTCTAAATTTACTTGTATCCTCATGGATCCTCTAAAGTTCCTCTGTTTCAATTCCTACTTCAGCCCTCAACGCTTACTGAACCTGCAAACATCACAACACTAGAAAATCCTTATTAAATGGAAGTTTGCTCAATTCTTAACATCATCATCAAAACCTCATAAGGATCAACAAGTTGTCCCTTTTTGATGATGACGAACTGAGCAAACTTCTGAGAATAACAAAGTAAAACAGAAGGTTAGTTTTTTATTTATAAAAACAATAAAGAAAACTAAACTAAATTAAAAGACTCCTACACATACATAACCTATATATGTATAGGATACTTACCTTATGAAGCTAACATATGTAAACACATGTTTACATAGTTACCTTCATGGTCCCTTAGCCATCATCATGCTTATCAACCATAACACTTATCGTTGTTCTTGTTCCTCTATTGCTTATCCTATATTGCTCAAGTTCCTTACATATATACCTGTCATTACTCAGGTTCCTTGTATCCTGTTCCAAGCATAATTTGCTTTTTCTATGCACAACTTAACATACACGTTAGATAGATAATCATCATTAGTTTATAATCATCAAAACCTAATTGCTCAACACTGGCAAAATCTGAGAATTTGCTCAATTCCATGCAATTATATTATTGTTAGCGAATCAGTAGTTGCAATCCCCCCAAGAAATTCAACCCACATACTATACACGAAATCAAATCATGGCCAAAAATGAGATGATAGGCCTTCTTAATTGTTTTTTGTCTTCTATATTGTCTTATGATCTGTACTGTTTATTACCTCTTGCCATAATATACTAGCTAGGCTGGCAGTAAATCAAATGGCTCATAAATCTCTTTGGTTAAATCTATGGCTCCTACACCTTCTTATCATTTATTGGTGGTTCTCCTCCATCCTCAATCTTAGCTTGTTACCCCCGCCATTATTGTATGTGGCGGTATTAGAAGCACTGTCGATTAAGTGAATTTAAATATCATTAAGAGGGTTCGCTGAAAGATTGATGAATTCAGTACTAAATGATCAATTTTCATCGGAAAATTTATATTACTCTTATGTAAATTTTTGTGAGCGTGCTCTCCAATACCAAAATAAATATAATTGTAAATCATTTATTTTGATCTTTAAATATTGTTCACATACATGTGAATTATTATTGCTATTGTAAAAATAAATAAAAAAAATAAAAATAAAAATAAAAAAATAAAATAAAATAAAAAAACCGTGTGAATTATTTCTGCCCATCACCAATTGTTTTAGAATGCAACTTCATTTAGGCGTGTAAATGACCCACACTCTCCTCCTTAGCTTGCTCATACCCATTTAATCTTCTCTAATAAATTTACAATAGAACGTCGTGTATCAAATATTTTGATTATTAAGATTGTTTTCAAGAAAAATAAAAATACAATTATATAACAATGCAAAAATTATGTCTAAACACCAAAATAGAAATCATTGAAAGATTTTATGTACCCCGAATTGCATTTTGCGAAAGCACATGGCACATGGACAAGGAGATCAAATGGGAGCTTTCATATATGGTGGCATCGTAGAAGATGACAAGCATAAGATAAGATTAGCAATTTTTGATTGCTATATATGATAATAATGTAGCCAATATAACGCTTGAAGTGTTACTTTCTTGCTTCGTGACTATTCTAATTTTGACTTTCGAGTACTCGTATTCGTGTAATTACCTATATACTTCGTATAAATAATCGATGTAGACATGGCGTGTGTATATACTAACTAGATTAGTTGTACAAGTTTTAGGAATTGTACGTGTATATGATCGATGTATTTCATGTACGTGTATATGATCGATGTATTTCATGCGGCTCTACTTGCATTGTTGTAGCTTTCTATTGACCAAAATATTTATATAGTGACACCATACATGACAATCTATTCTACATAATGACAAAAAAAGTTAAGTTATCCTACACATTCTTATGACGAGTGTAGAGGTATATATATCTATTGAGTATACTCCATCTATTATTAAGTAAGTGCATGTCTTTAAGTATAAGAGGTAGGCAATTTCAGTAGCTCCCTCTGTATTTTATTACTTGCTCCATTTATACTTTTTGCACTGTTTATTTGACTTATTTTGACTAATATTTGTGATTTATATATAAGAAAAAATATAGTCTTGTCGAATTTTTTTGGAATCGTCTCAATCAATTGTTATTATAACTTATACTCATAGATAATTAAAGATATTACTGATCAAAGATTTGCATTGACATACATGCCCAGGAGAAATAGAGCAAATAATAAAATACGGAGGGAATATTTTTAGTAGTTTCCCTCTGTTTTTTTTTCAAGTATTTTTTTTATAAGAAAGCCTTTCTCTCTCTCTCTCTCTAAAGCTATTTGTTACTATGATTGTACCAAAAAAAAAAAAGCACATTTACTAATGAATCTAGCACGATTCTACTATATGGTTGAACATTTTATTCTAAGGTGCTACTAATCAGTTGACTTTCTCATAATTGTCACAGGATCACGTTGGTTAATTAATAACATTTATTGAAATAAGCTTGTTCAAAGTTGGTTAATTAATAAAATTTATTGAAATAAGCTTGTTCAAACATAATTGTCGATTTCTACTCCTCTTTTCTTGCTTACTTTGTATCTCCTTCCCTTAAGTTTTCTCTTTCTTTAATTTCACCCGTCTTTTTTTTTTATATATAGTTTTGAGCATTTTAGAAAGTTTCTAAAAAGTCTTTACTCAATTACACTCTAAAAAGTTTTCTCTTTCCTTCCTTTTATTTCCTTAAATTCCCTCGGTCTCTTTCTCGGCCTTTCTCTTCCTCTTTTCCTTGCTCCTTTTTTAATGGCATCTCTCTCCCGACCCGCCCTATTTGTCTTCCTACCCCTCTATCTCTTTCTCCTTCTCGGCCTCCCTTTATCTCTTTCACTCTACCGGCCTCTCTCTCTCTCTCTCTCTCTCTCTCTCTCTCTCTCTCTCTCTCTCTCTCCCTCCCTCTCTCTCTCTCTCTTTTTGCTCCCCTTCTCCCCCTCCCTCCCCCCACCGTACCCCTCCTTCCCTTTCCCACTCATTTCATCTAATGCTATTTTTCTCTAAAGAAATCTATTACTATGGTTATACACTTGTACAATATAAAAAAGACGCTTACCTATATATGAATCTAACATGATTCTACCATAAGGTTAAAATATTTATTCTAAAGATTTTGTTAACCAGTTATCTTTCTTATAATTGTCACACGAACCATGTTGGTTAATTAATAACATTTGTCGAAAGAAACTTGTCCAAATCTAATTGTCGAGTTCTATTTCACTGATGACCATATATCACTTCTTGCGCGTCTATTTCGCTGATGACCAAATAGATCCGCGAGCCAAACTTCTGCCTAGTCTTTATCTTTACAAATCTATCACAGAATAGTAGTGTACAGCATGAGGAAAAAAAAACAAAAATAACTCAACTACATCAAATTTAAATTGTACAAGGAATAAAAAAAAATAAAAAAAAATACTAATATGAGTGCAACTAAACACATCAAGAGATCTATCACCGTGATTGTATATAAGCGGAAATGATAAGAAATCCTTTTTAGGGCGCAAGAACCTACGAAACACAACCTACAAGAAAGACTTTGGAAAATAAATTTAGGAATTTAATCATATCTCAAACTAAACCTTCACAGAATGAATGGTAATGTACAAAATCGAATGTAGAAAAGGTTAAGTAGCCCTTTCAATTCGGCGGATTATCTCTTAGTTCTTTGTCCTTGGATGATTTTTAAGACTACAGATAACTTCAAATCCCTTTCTTCTCCATGTGATATCCAAATTTTGCATCAATAATTATTAATTAGCTCTTAAATTTACCAAAAAAACACTCACAACTTACATGATCAAAAGATAAATAATTAGCTCTGATTGTTCTTAAGACTACAAATAACTTCATATTTCTTTCTTCTCCACATGATAATCAAATTAGAATCATTACATCTTGCGAGTAAAAGTCATTTCTTGTACATAGAAAATCTTACTAAGTCAATAATTTGTAGCATACCAATTCAGATGCCAATGTAATATATTTAATGGAAATTATAACCACATATTAAAAAGAAAACTTGAGTCACTAATCAAAATAGGGAAAACCCGGGAATAAAGAAAAATAGGCACCGCCGAAAGTCTGAATGGGCAAAACTTGGGCTTCCCCTTCCTGCTGTACTTGATGAAATGACTACCTATTTTCAAAGTAATTAGTACCTACACAGTTTGAAAGAAATAGATCATATGGTAAAAATATGTTAAAAAAAGAACTAATCACCTCAATTCTTAAAAAACTATACAATTAGATTATGAATAAAGTCTTTATTGTTCAAATAATTGGCTCTATACATGTATTTAGGATACATATCAACCACAGTTTGAAGACGGGATATATGATAAACTCTAATTTTACAAACCTTTTTGAGCATATCGTATAACTCTGATTAATTTTCAGTTCACAACCTCTTGCCCTTCCCCTTCTCATGCATCCTAATTTTATGTATAATTCCTCTATATTTAGAAGTGTTTTGAGTGATTTCCATTGATCACCATAATTTTAGGTGCATGCTTACGATAATCATACCTCTAAATTTAGTTTGATTATTATCATTATTCACCTATTTTACTTTAACATTCCACTAACCTCATCTTCTATTGTTTCTACAATACCATACATTAATCCTGATGCATATTATGTACTTTCTATTTTGATTAATCATTTATGCAAATAAAATTTGGCCTGCAAAGATATAACAATGTCCTATATATAAACAACATAAATGACACGTACAAACTTAAAATAGCTCATGCATTATATGATTATAATACTTATGAACATATTTCTGGCAAATTAAACAATTAAACACCCCACATAAGCATAAACTCCAAACTAATACCCAAACATGGTTCAGTTTGGTGACATAACCTTTATTATGCATCTGAATGTACATAGACACAAGTCATTGGTAAAGATATATCTTCCACTGATTATTCATAAGTCCTGATATTATGAGTAAGTTGTTTAATTTTAATTCATACATTATTGTAATATGTATATTCAATCTATATTTCCACATCAATCTTACGAAAATAAATTAGAAGTGTATTGTCTTAATACTCTAATAGGCAATATATTCTACATCATCTTTGCCCTCAAATATTTAATCTTATTCTGGCTAAAACACCTTCCTTAGGACGCATTAGTATTTTGTAATGCACTCTTTTGTGGAGATTGACTATGCACTCTTTGTATCACAATTAGAAAAACCTTACCAAAACATGTTTACAATAATAACAGTACCAGTATCAGAAAAACCTAACAATAACATCATAATAATAACAGCCATGACAGCAACAACAACAGCAGGTACTAAAGTAACAGCAGCAACGAGGTGAATCCATGACCACATAAGCACGAAACTAGTTGATAGCGGAGTGAAAGGATCATATACCTTGTCTAAAAACTCTCGAAGATGCTGGATACGGCCCATATAATACTGGTCGTCCACACACAAGCTAACAACCTTAGCCCAGCACAAGGGCCATCAAATTGAAGAGGACTTGGATTTCTGTAGATATCTTCCATCAACAACCTAGAAGCATTCTGTCTCAAAAGCCTGCAAAGGAGACGACAAAATAAATCAAGATCACAATTCACAACTAATTTCGCCACATATATAGGGTGCAGAAAATCCTATTATTTGTAATGCATGCTAAAAATCAAATATAACCACTCATTCCAAATTCAATAATAGGTTATTTGTAATGTATGCTAAAAATTAATTATAACTCTGTTTTACAAATTAACATTCATTAGAGCATTACCCCTCTAATTAACCCTTATTCAGTTATAAAAAGAGAACTATAAGCAGCTTTCACTTAAAGCAATTACTTACTTCCATACTCAACAATAAGGAGAACAAAATACCGGGAGATTCACAAAGTTGTATTAACAGGATCAACAATCTAATAATCAAACAGAGTACTCAATTAGCTACACCTCCCCCACTAAACCTGAGAAATTTGAAAGAACTTGTGTATATTTACATGAAATTTTCAGAAAACACTTTCAACCATACTTCGCATCGTAAACTCTGCTGCTAACCTTAATTTGATTTTTTGTTTTGTTCATTCTCGAAATAAACAACATCAATTCAATAACTCAAACTAATGATAAACTTACATCAATTCAAGAAATCAAACTAATAGTTGCAGACAATTCATAAAATCAAATCAATTCAAGAACTCAAACTAACAGTTCCAGACAATAGCATAAGAACACATCAATTCAAGAACTCAAACTAATAGTTCCAGACAATAGCGTAAGCTCACATCAATTCGAGAACTCAAACTAATAGTTCCAGACAAGCATAAGATCTCAATACAAGAACTCCAACTAATAGTTCTAGGCAATAGCAAAGCAAATACCGCTCTCAAGATGATTCCCTGAATGGCTCAGCATTCTAATCACTCTTAACTAAACTAATCGTAAAGGTATACAACAAGGTAGAAAAGATAATAGAACCTTAGGTTTTTTCGAATTTTTTCACACTTGGCCTCAAGAAGTTCCTTTCCAATTCAAATCCTTTCCCAAAGATTCCAAACAATTGTTAGAAGTACAACATTGAATAAATTAACTACTCGCTTTGCTAGAACTTGTATACTCTGGTTTTCAAGACATGGTAAAATAACAATCTACATTTTAGGAGTTATCAAACTTAACTATAAGATAATTTCCTATTTTTAACATAGCATTAAATTAACTATAAGAATATAAGATAACATAGACAAATCTTTACACATAGACATCCCTCCTAAATACATACAAACCAACATAAAAATGATGCTATAAATCACTTTGATACATGTACCCAAGCAGCAACACCCTACCTAAAAAGGGGGGGGGGGAGGGGAAGAAAAGCATACAATAATTCAGAAAGGCCCAACTTTGGCAAGGTATGAGCAATAAGAAGACAAAGGATGAATTAGAACAGTTGCCCAATGCAATTAGCACGAGAAACAACCCAATAATTTAATAGTCAATACAGGATAAACAAAGTCAGTAGCCTGCAATCCAGATCAATTACAATTAGCAATTTTGTTTTGTAAATATTGGTTTACACGTCAAATCCATTCCAATAGACTCGAAATTTCATTCGAGTCTTTAATTTGAAAGATGTTACATAGATGTTCAAATAGCACTAAAGCAAATATTGCAATCATGTGTGGACATAGAGGAGCCCTTCTCTGACATCCTCAGGTCTACTCTCCAAACCCAGATAATTCCACATTTACATAATCGGGTAATACAGCAGCTACAGATTTGGTTAAATATGCACACCCTTGATCCTCCCATTCTGAATCACAAACACTCAAGACCCCAGAATAGTTCTTTATATGACCCAACTTATATCTTACATACATATGCTAGTTATGCTATCCTTTGTAAGTAAATATTTCTAAGGAATAATGTTAAGAAGGCAACGTATAAATTAACTATTTGGGTGATAATACCGATGTAACACTTAAGTGAGAAGCAGAAGCACAAAAGGGCTCAGGACATGGAAAACAAAACGTGAAGGGAGATAGTGTATTTTTTAACTTTGTTATTCGAAAGAATTATTAGTTGTTTAACAGCAGTTCCAAGATCTCTTCGCTAGACATCCCTTGCCTTATATTAGTTGTTTAACAGCAGTTCCAAGAACCAAAGCATAAATCAATAGCCCTAAGACAAATTGTTTTGCATAACTGGGCAGTCACACTCCATGGAGGTCCAAGGCATTCAAAACTTCAATAGGCTCAATTTAAGCACGTATAAAAAGCCTTAATTTAATTCTATCATTTATGGAATAACACTAACCACAGCTAAACTAAACTACATTAAAAGTAACATACCTGAACTTCTCCTGTCCCTTTGGGCAGTATTTTTCCCATCTCAAGTGACACCAATCGTCCGAGCTGCTGGAGTTAAGCTCTCAAAGCATCACCAATCTGTAGCAATTTCACCTCTTTTTGGGGCAGGCATCTTATGACAAAGAAAAAGCAATTGAAACAAGTCAAAATATTAAAAAATATTGCTGAAGCCAAAAAAGATACCGCATAAAACAAAAGCATTGTATTAATCACCTGCATCCACATCTTTGACGCTTCTACACAAGCTTTTAGGCTTTCATCATAGTCCTACAAAGAACCCTCGACGACTTCAGCAATTGGCTGAATCAACACCTCGAGGGGCATATGCAGAAAGTCACTGTAGATAAGCTACAGTAACTTATTATTCATTTTTTAGGGGTTAAGGAAATATGTTTTTATTATGTTAGTAAAACATTATAGTCAAAGTTAATAAATAAATAGTGAGAAAAAGTCCAGCGTCCCACTTACTCTAGGATGGATATCCACAACAATACCAAACGGACCATAAACCGTTGTCAAAAAAAATAATCAATACTTTTTTTTTGGAAAAAGGAAATAATCAATACTTAAACCAACAATTAAATTTTTTTTTTTTTTTAAAAAAAAAAACAATTTACTGTAGTTCCATACCTAGTCAATACATTTAATACCATAAAGTTTTTCAATATCTTAATATACAGCAATGGGACAATATTAATGAAGGATGTTCATTAATATGATCATCCTTTGCTACTAAAAACTCATACGAAGTACTTGTATTAGGTAAGAAACAAAATTGACAATGTTCCTCAAAGCACTCCAAGTACTCAAATAGCTTTGCATCTAACATTCTAACGTTTCCATCAGCATGTTGAACGTCACCATCTCCATCTACAAAATCTGCGAACAAGATTTAAGTCCAAAAATATTTAGAGGTATCAAAAACTAACATGACCCATAACCAACAAAAAAAAACAAATTCAAATTTCGACTCATACGAACATAGTAATTTAGCATGACTCAAATTTAAAAAGACCCAACCCGCACAACCCAAATTGACACCTTGGTGTATTACACCACTTTGCATTATACGAAAGCCTATCAACAAGACATCAAAGCGAGACACAAGTGAACAAAAAGGTTCCATGAAAAAGCTCAACAATAACTTCTCACTTATAAAAAAAAATAATAATAAATAAAAAAAAAAAAAAAAAAACAGTAGAAATTAGCAGGAAAACATTTACACTACTTCTGAGTTCTGAATAGTAATGACAATAATCAAAAGTTCCTAACTCCATGTTTTAACAACACCAGTAGTTAATGAATAGTAATGACAATGGATGATAAAGTTCACGATTGTCAACTACCTCTATTTCAGCTAACAATCCATGGAATAGTAACAAAGTTTGCTGCAATTCCCGAATTTATTACCATATCACAGCAATTTTGCAGACTTGGTGGCTCTTTTACATTATCATTAACAAGTATAGTCATTATACTCCTTTCATTTCATACATAAAACCAAATTATGCGATTCAAAACACCATGTTCATCATAAACAAAATAAAGTTAATTACAAAATTAAAATTCTATTCTAATCCATTGAAATTCATCAATTAATGTAAAATCTACCAATAAATAACTATCAACTCAAGGAAGAAAGAACGCATCAATGCATGAACAAACTCCATATCATCAATTTTTCGATTGGCATATTTATCGAACAGGATATAAGCACCTAGAGATGATTTATTAAAACTAAGAACCATTGTCAAAAATTCCAATGACCTTGATTAAATTAAGAATCAATTTCACCTATCATACTCATTCAAATCATATTAAAGCTGCAAGGGCAAAATTCAGATTGAAGAGCATAAAATTAATTTATAACCAAGAATAAGATTATTTTAACTCTCACTTTATCAGGAATAAGATTATTCAAGGGTAACTCTGGCACTAGTTGATGATGTCTTTCCAATCAACGAATTCAAAATAAATCTACGTTCTTTAAGATTGTACTCTTCCTTAAGCTTTTGAAGATTTAGTAATCACCATACAATCCAACATGAAAACACTTTGCAACAAGTAGATAGCAACTGGTATCCACTCTAATTGGAAATTAGACAGCTTAACCTCCTTCAGATTCAAAGGTTTTCCATTATAAATCTCTAATTTCTTCAGATTCTTGGCACTAAGTTCAAAATTCTTGCAAACTTGGACATCCTCCAATTGAGAGGGAGCGCAAGCGAGGGAAGTTATTGCCGATCTCCAACTTATCTGGAAGATTACACATTCTCAACCGTAAACATCAATGGTTTAACAACTAGATAAGATGTCCAGCCACTGAATGCCAATCCCCTCTAGAGTAACGTTAGTTAGATGAAGTGTAGTTATGTTTGTTGATAGAATAAAATCATTCTCAAGCTTCAGGATGCAGGAATCTGAACGCAGTTCTCGTAAATAAGAAAATTGGGAAAGAAATTAAGGAACCCCTGATAAGATGCAACCCTTTACAATGGGATTGGACGTAAGAAATACTTAAGAAATTTAATGCGGAAATAAACCTTAAGCATAGAATCAATTTTACATTACATACTATTAGATGAGCTTGAAGCCATGATTGTACCTTTGGTTGGATGAACTTTGCAGGGAGGGAAGAAGAACAATACCAAACCCTTCTCCTCTCTCTCTAACTTTAATACTGGATGTTTTACCCTTATATATATATATATATATATAATCTTTATTTTATATGTAGTCCAGTTGTCCTTAATAGAGGAGAGCAGAGAGTCTGGTTTTAGTCGGATTAAACCAACTATCTTTTATATCAATAACTGTTATCTTATATTAATTATTTATATATAAATAATTAATCGGCTAAGTAATCCAATCCATCAAAGGACACTTATCTTTTATACAGTATTGATTTAATATGAGCATTTCTGTAATTGGATATTTGTATCAACTTAAATAGTGGGATTTAATTAATTAAAACAATAAATTAGCGGGTCACCCACTTGACATGTAATGTGGAAATTACACTGGAAATAAGCTCTCCACCTATCTGCACATATAAACTGTAGGGTGAGACTCTTTAGACCCGTATTTGCAGCAGCAAAGTTGATCCGGCGATCAACATCATCGGCATAACTGTTATCAAGGCAACACGCAAGACTAAAAGATAAGATCTTCTGACCCATGTAGTTCTGCAGCACCCGATCCACACTTTTCACATATGCCTGCTTATAAGAAAGTTGATCACATTGACTGCAATGACACCAGAATGGACTACCAGACAACACAAACCAATCCAAGTCAAGGGATGGAATGGTCAAGCACAAGTTTCTCCATCTTGTTGATAGCGTAGCCATTCTTGCAACATCACGCAATGACATATATGAGAGAATATCTAACAAAACCCCATCAGGAAGCTCACTGAGACCATCTTTGACATTCACATTCAGAATGTCGACCAAGTTTTCATTAGATTATCATCATCAACAACAACAACCTACATTGGACGTACATACGTAGCATCTCAATTAGAATTACCAATACATTCACCTGATTATCACCTGATTATCAAGGAAATAACTGAAAATAAAACTTGTATGTTTTTATGACTTAAAAATATGGAGGCCAGGTCTCATAGAATATAACAAAACAAATTACCTTGCAAGAGTGTATTCGATTGCTAGCACAGTAACTCCTCCATATTCCATAGAGTGCAGCAATAGTAGCCATAAGGAAGGTGATATCCACATTCATATTCTAAAAGCAAAACATCAATATTAAATTGGTAAATCCTTAAACAAAAAAATAAAATACTGTTGTAAAAGAACAAAGTAACTCCTATAATACTAATTGAGTAACCCTAAATCATCGACACAGTATTGAGTAGCCCCTATAACATTGATCAAGTACTTGAATTGGGTTTGGTAATTATACAGTATGGATTAATACGGTAAAAGTACATGAGATAGTAGTTCCATGAACAATCCTTCGCCAACGGAGGGGTTTGGACTATAATTGATTGAATCCCAAATATAATAGAATAATCGATTGAATCCCAAATATAAAAATAATAATTCAATCGACTGAATCCCAAATATAATGGAATAATCAAATATAATAGAATAAACAGCTACTAACCTAATTGGGAGCTTTTCAGCCAAGCTCGTCGGATTTAGAGGTCTTTTTCTAAGGCGGGCGGTGGACTACTTGATTAGGTAAGGGAAGAAGGGGCCTAAGCACGGCAGATGCCAAAATTAAAATAACTTTTATTTTTTTTTTCTTTTAAAAACAATTGAAATAGAAATTGCAATTGTAAATAACAAGTTAAGTATAAAGTTGGGGTCCAACTTTTTAATTTTTTCACCTCTTCGGGCCTCCCACTTTTTTTTTTCACCATTTGAGACCTCATGGGTGTAATTCGCAACTAAGTTTACCAATTTAGCATAATTTAAACAGAAATATAAAGCTGATGCATTGTTCTTTCCAATTAGAGCTCTCAAAACACTAGCAATCTCACAATGAGTGAGCTCATTATCCATTATCCTCGCGACTCACGGCTATAGGAACCTATCCACGTAAAAACAATCTAAAGACAGCAATGAAACTATCAACTAAATCACAAATCTTTCAAAAACCAACCTCTCCAACTTTTCAAATTGCAATAGCAAATTCATTAAAGCGCTTGATAAACCTGTTTAGCAAAAGATTAAACAATTAAGCCATGAACAATCCTACACTGTCTAAAACCACAAATCCATAATTAGCACTCACAAATTACAATCAAATAATATCCAGTAATGCAAATGGGTATCAATTAATGCTGCAAATACTTAAATAAATACTGAAAATTATACTTATACTCAACAGAATTGGGTATCAATTTTAAGCAAACCTTGAATTAGGTCAAGTTTAGAAAGATCAACAGAATCCGACCCAATATCCTCAATTTCTTCAAACCCAGAAGCAGTTTCCAAACTTTCACTCGAATCAGCATTAATTCTTCCCTCAGCTTCCTCACATTAATTCTTCAAACCCTACGGGCAGTTTGGAGATCTTCTGAGGGATTAAAATCGAACGAAACTTGATGACGAGAAACTGTTAAGTCGTTTGAGTAAAATCCATTTGCTCTTCCAAAAATGGTGGCTGAATTTGGTTTAAGTTTGAATATACTCTTTCAGTTTTTTTTTTTTTTTTTTGGATATGCATGCTTATTAGTTATTACTGAAGGGACTCCAGTTTATTTTGTAAAAAAGTAAATGAAAGGACTGAGGGATCTTTTGATTTGTGCAAGGGAATCAGAATTGAATGAACAAAGGGAATGTAAGAGAATGGAATGAAACCCTTTACATGTAGTATGTTGTTTGTTTTCAAAAAAATAAAGGGAATCACCACCACCACAACACAACCCCCTCTTTTTTCACAATTCCACTTTTCCAACCACCCCACCACCCAGCCACCACCTCGACGAAACTCGTCGGCCCTCGGCGCACCTCCCCCACCCCTCGCCGCCCTCCCCTCCCCAGAAAACCTTCCGCCATCCACGCAAAACCCTAGAAACCACTCTCCCTCCACTTAAAACAGCTAGGGTTTCGAGGGTGGTGGGATGATCGGTCGATGATTTAAGTGGAGGGAGAGTGGTTTCTTGGGTTTTGCGTGGGTGGAGGAAGGTTTTTGGGCAGAGGAGATATTGTCGAGGGGAGAGGATATATTTTCGAGGGGAGAGGTGGGGAAGGTGCAACGGGTTCCGTTAAGAGGTGGGGGAGGTGTGACGGATTCCGGCAAGAGGTGGGGAAGGTGCGACGGTTCTGACGAGAAGTTGGGGAGATGCGGCGAGGTGGTTGGGCGAGTTCCGGCGAGTAGGATGGTGGTGGGTATGGTGGCTAAAGAAAGGGAATGGAAAAGTCTAGGGGGTGGGGAATCAAAGCAGACTAATTTTGGGTAAACTCAAAAATAAAAATGGGTAAAGGGAATGAAAAAAGTGACAAACAAACAACAACAAAGGGAATGATATCAGTTCATTCCCATTCCCTTTGATTATTAACCCCAACCAAACGGCCCCTGAGTTTTTTTTTGTCAACCATTCAATCACGGGGCGCTTGGTTGGAGGGATGGAAATAAAAGGGATAAGAAGGGAGGATAAAGATAGTGAAACGCTAAACATCGCCCGCAATTTACCATATAAAGCCCACAAATATGTTATGATTTGACCATTATGCCCTTTTGCTAAAATTGAGATAATCTCGGTGTAAAAAATGTGGAGCCGTACTGGCTCGCCGGGGGAGACCGGATGGCAGGCCGGAGATGCGGGGGACGCCGGAGGTACGTCGTCGTCGACGGAAAACGAGGTAAGTGACCGCTAAAATTCACGGTTTACCGTCGTAGTGGCTCCGGCGCCTAGGGTGGACGCCCAAACCGTAGCCTGGACGTCCAAGCCGGACGCCAGAACCACCAGAGTGGCGTCCAGGCTAGACGCCCAGACCACCAGACTGGCGTCCTGGGCAGACGCCACTCCACTGGGTGAGGCGGCCCTGCCAGGCGCCAGTCCAGTGGGTGTGGCAGCCCTGGCAGACGCCACCTTTAATAATTAATTTTTATTTTTTCCTTTTTGATTTTGTTGTTGTTTTTTATTTAATTTTTTTGTGAAAATAAAAAATCGAAAATGATTTTTTAAAAAAATTCGAAATGGGTTTTTTGTAAATTAAATTTGAAAATTCGAAATAGGTTTTTTTAAAATTAAATTTGAAAATTCGAAATGGTATATTTTTAAATTTAGTTTGAAAATTCGAATTGGGTTTTTATAAAAATTAAGTTTGATTATATATAATTATGTTTTTTTTTGTGTTAATTATGTGGAAATATAGAAATTAAATGTATTATCCGTTAAATGTATTTATTGTAATATATAATTGATGCATGAATATGGTGGAGACGGAAATGATTACAGTGAGATATTTGGACATGATGGTCCATTCGAAGAAGCTCAACATGCGATTGATTGGGCAAAACAGGTTGCAATTGCAGCTGGATTTTGCTTGGTAGTAGCAACTCATAAATCTCAACGGGATGGTAGAATGGATCGCATTTTGAGATGTGACCGTTATCGCAAAAAGAGAAGAAAGAGATTTTCGTACAGCCACTCGGTTTGACACAAAGCGGAAAGGTTGTGGGTGTGAGTTCAGAGTAAAGGTTCGACAACTACGGAGTCGTGACGGTTGGGAAGTGATAGGTTACTCTAAATGGGGGTATCACAACCATGAGATGATAGTATATGAAGAGGGTCATCGACAACTGAGCGGCTTAAGTCCTGCTGCGAAACTAGTTGTGAAAGAAATGAGTGATGCTCAAGTGAAGCCTGCTAAAATATTAGCATCTGTGTTAGAGAAATTTCCAGAAGACCATCCAAACCGAAGACACATCTACAACGTCAGACAGCAACTCAGGTTTGAACGGTCAGAGGGAAGGAACCCTATACAGCAGCTGCTACACCAGGCACAATCACGTGGTTACCTGTTCTGGTTTGATTCTGATGAAGATACAGCGGAGGTGACTCATCTTTTCCTTGTGCATCCTA